ACAATAAGATAATATTACAATTTACCTACAATTTATTAAGAAGATTTAGTAATCTCTGTATTTATCTTATTTCTCGGTTACATAATACGTAACATACGAGTTTACATATTGCACGGCCATATAAGTAACACAGATGCATTGAAACGAAACCGGCTCTCACGTATATCGATTACTTCAATGAAAAACCTGCATCTATATAATATTTAATACTTAAAACTCCTTAAACGTAAGATAATCGAATTTAACGTCTTAAATTAGTCACTAATGTATTATGCAATACAAACTTTATCGCAGCTCGGAATAACGCATGAGTCTTACACAAAGCACACGATACTACGAGCGCCCAAAAAATTGGAATCATGTTATCAATGCGAAAGTTTAGATGGATGGATGTCTGTTGGAAGGTATCTCCGGAACAGCTGCAGGCATTTCGCTTAAATTTAGCACAGATGTAGAACATAATTTGGAAGGACACTTAGTAGAAGACACTACTAGTAAAGTTTTTTTTAGCCCAAGGGAACGGAATCGTGGGCGTCAGCTAGTACCTCCATAAAGAGTTTTGATTATTTTAAAGCTATGAAGTCTTATATGACAAATGAGTAATTTTATAGGTCACAATTTGATGGAGGAGCACTGTCTATGGTTAATTTATTTAAAATAATGTAAGGCGGGTGTATTCGGCCCGCGTCGGCCAGTTTCACTGGACCCCGGCCATCGCTTTCCACTTTCGATTGCGGGAAATGCGAGCTAATGTAGACAACACACAAAGAATTACAAAGGTTAAGATTCAGTAGTAATTCAATGTCATAAACTTCGTTATCTAACCGTGGGTTTATGAGATCAAAATCTCTGTACAAAACATATCGTCATCCATGTTTTCCCTCTGTTTTGTCAAAAATAATGATATGAATGTGATAACGAATGTTTTATACATCGTTTTGAATCATAAAATATCAAAGGTTTATCAGATAATAAGAAATGAAAATTCAAACACAAAAAAACAGCAGAAATACTGAGCTTATAATCTATATGTCTATACCAATATTATAAAGCGAAATAGTTTGTTTGTTTAAACGCGCTAATCTCAGGAACTGCTGGTCCGATTTGAAAAAAACGTTTTTTTTATTTATAGAGGATAATAGACTAATAGTTTTTTTAATTCCGCGCGGACGGAGTCACGGGCGTCAGCTAGTGTTCTATAATTCATTACTGGTTGTCACTTGAATTTAAAAAAACAACTTGAACAGAAGCCTACGTGTTCTTCCAGACTATGTTCTACATCTGTGCTAAATACCAGCGAGATCCATGCTGCCTTTCTGAAAATACCTTGTAACAAACATCCATCCATCCAAACTTTCGAATTTATAAGTAAGATTACTTCTAACTTGTTAAGTAAAAGATGAAGTAACTTAGAGAGTGCAATTAATGTATGAAGTGACAACTTTCTTTCAAAATGTTAGCTTACGTAAACAGTTTCCATGTTACGTGTCGATAAGTAACACTTAGCGATAACTTGAGTGTTACTTAATGACTTAGCTGACGTCTATTTATCGACAAGATAAATTGATTCAATAAACTTTATTACAATAATTTATTATAACCGAAATTTTGGGAAATAAAAGTATTTATATGACAATTTTTCATCGATAGATGTATCGTGAATTTTGGATGAATTTCAATTTATGTGAATTTAATCTTATATATTTAAATGAGCAATTCTTGTACATATATACATATATCTTTATATATATAATTCTTCTGTGCGTGTGTATGTCACTGAACTTCTCTCAAACGACTGGACCGATTTTGATGAATTTTTTTGTGTGTGTTCAAGGGGATCTGGGAATGGTTTAGATTCACAATTTTCATCAAATATTAACTTCATATTAATTTATTCAAATGTAGACAGGACAACGTCTGTCGGGTCCGCTAGTACATATATATAATTGGAATCTCGGAATCGGCTCCAACGATTTTCATAAAATTTTAGTATTATATATAGGGGGTTTCGGGGGCGATATATCGATCTAGCTAGGAATCATTTTTTGAAAATATCATTTTATTCGTGTTTTCACGATAATCAACTTAAACATAAACTTAACTTTTTCTATCGGTAAGATCGAAAAATATTATTCATATTTTATTACTAATTCGTACTTAAATATAATTTCCAAAAAACACAATAAAAAAAAATAACGAGCAAAGGTCATCCAGGTACTTTTTATAAATGGCCAATGAATACAAGAGTTATTGTTAAGGTCTATTTGCACGGTTTGTCGTTCAGTGGAAAATGGGTCTAATAATAAGATTAAAAACAATAGTCTCAGAGTTGTTTTCTTAGAACACAACTATGTACATTTTAGTCCTTTCTTTCTTTACTATTTTACTCGTCATGTACTTTCGTATTAAATAGTAATTCGTACAAAATTTTACACAATTTAAAATCGTTTCTAAGTTTAATTCTACGCAGATTAATTAACTAAATTAGATCAATTACGTACACTTTCTCAAAACGAGGCGAAACATCAACGCCCTAGTTGTGAATTAAGAGAAAATTAACTATTGAGAGAGATAATTTGGAAAGTTAGAGACGCAGCCGATTTTCGGTTCAAAAGTAATATGCCGCGTCAGGGTACGTTAAGTTGTAGGGTTACCATTAAATTGTAGACTACAAACAAAAACCACAAAATTAGATATTTGCGGATGCGTTATATTTCATAGACAGAGGAAAGAATGTCGACAAATTCAATTCCCCTTCCTACATTTTTCTAATACTAAAAAAATTAAAGAGAAGGTGGATATGTAAGATTTATTTATTCCCTATAATTTTTTCATAATTGCATACATGGTAACCCTACAGTCGTGTGTGTCGCAATTTCTACGACCGCGCCCGTAACCCGAACTTCCGAGAAAAATCACTCCGATTTTATGCGCAACGAAGATCGTTAAACATTTATTTGCATTAGAATTACGTGATATGTCTAATTGAACGAATCAATTGTAACAAAAGAAGACTTCTAAAGATAGAAGAAAGATATTCTGTTGTCTAGATCTAGATGATAAGCCTACAGACTATTTTTTGGTATGCATCAATAATTTCGTTGCCACGAATGTGTTTGTAGATTTTGGATAAACGAGTGGAAACTAATATTTGTTTTCCATCCGTATCGGCGAATGTTCTGTTCTCTTTTATAAACATGCTAATATAAATTATTCAGATGACTTTTTTTAATTTTCATTTGTAAAAAATTAAGAGAAAAAGAAAGTCAAGAATAAAACTGGGTCAAATTTCGAATTACGTCTTAATGAAATTAGTAAAATTTGGTTTTGGTTAAAAGTTTGTTGCCTAGTTTATTTACGTCACTTGATGTAAAAAAAAGTAACAAAGAAATGATTTTTGATTAAGATTGTTGAACGTAACCCACGTAACCGACTTACTTATTCTAAGATGAAGGGCTGCAAGTAAATTGCAAATTATAATATTTTTGTATAAATTGATAAGTTTTTGTAGCCTAAACTACCTCATTCAATAGCGTTTTAGGTCCCAAAGCTCTTCCGATTACATATAAAAAGCTGCTGTTACGTAGTTCTTACCATTGAGAAGACAATTTATCTTCTAGTAGGATAATTTACCACGTGGGTTCACGTGGGTTTTAACAGTTCAAGAAAATATTACAAATATCAATGTTAAATAAAATTTGTTTACGTTTCGTTTATTATTAACAACATAAAAACTATAGCAAAGTTTTGTAGTAGGAACGTAAATATAGAATCATCAAATAGTAATACAATGAAACTGAAGAAATGGTAGACAATAAATTGTAATATAATTAGAAAATTATTTATACACACCTTCAAAGCAGGGGGTAAATCTGTCCACTACAATGAGGAAAATCCATTTCCGTCACTCATTAGGCATTCCGAACAACACAAACACTGAATTTAATTATTTATGCTATAAATACAATCAGGAAAATTACTCTTGTTATATATCACAATATTATTGTATATAATAGCGAGTAACTACATGGAAAGTCCAACACTGCGAAATAGGCACTCTTTCGAAGGTGGAGAAGAAATAAAGCAGTTATCAACTATCGAAAAATAATGTCAATAAATTTGAAATAATAACACTGATATCACTAAACTTAATCTTCACGAAGCATTTTTTTATTTTTCTCACAATTTATGCATTTACGTTAGATATGATTGGCATAAACAAATTATTGACAGATTTTACTATCACCACTTTACCCAACCAACTTCTGCGGAAGTCAACAACCGTTTGACAGATCGTAGTAGCCTTGGCCTATGGACGCGACGCCATTTTACAAATGTTGCCCCTTTAATATTTACAAAATCCCCAAATTAAACAGATGTTTGTAGTTTTTTTTTGGAAATATCTATTATAAATAAGAAAATGTTTCTAAAACTAATATGTTAGTAAAAGAGATTTAATTATTTTTTGCACTTAGCGCCATCTTGCGGTGACTACATACATCAAAACCAACTGCAGATTTGGATACAAATAAAGGTATAGATGACGCTTATTGTTTAACTCACAGTAATTGTACAATTCGTATTGACTGGTTATTGTCTTTATTTTATTATAATTTTTTTGTTTGTTTTACTATATAGGTAATATGAAAATGCAATTCAATAATAGTGACACACAACACTGTACTGCTTTGTATTATCGTAAGGGTTATATTCTTAAGAAAGGTAAAGTAAAATTAGTTTTATCACTTTTTAAGCATTTATTTTCAAATACATTATTAAAAAACGCAATAGAATGACAATAAATTATTAAAAAACATTTTTAAAAACTAGATCGTCACTACAATATGTCAAAATAACAATGGCATTGCTATAAAAACTGAGGTAGATATAAATTTATTTTAATTATAAAACTATATAAATTATCATTAGCATAATATCACAAACTTAAAATGTAAACAGTAATTTGTAAAGACACTAACTAAATTTTAACAAATTTAAGGAAATCAAAATTTCTGCATAATGGCAACACAATGTTTGAGAAAACCACAGATTAATTAATGACTAGAGCCATAAGCTTCGAGGACTTGGTGTCTTCTTCCACTCCGGGAAATGCGAAACCCTTTTTAGCCAGCTCCTTGTAACTTATTTCGAATAAATCAACGAAGCCCGCCTTCTTTGCAACTGCTTGGGACGCGGCAGCCGTGAACACCGTGGCTGTCACTTTGACATCCAGCGCCTTACACAGAGGGACCCTGGGAACATTAATTATGATTATAAAACTTAAATTAACACAATTACTGTATTTAGAAATCTATTGGGTTCTTCGTTGATACAAAACTATCTTCCGAAGCGACCATAATAAAAAGGCTTTTGTCTTAGTAATGTCCTAAATTATTGGTTTATTTAGTAGTCATTTTTGGTGGTTCCGTCCTGTAATTAATAAAATTACATCCTTAAAAAACATAACTGGCTTTACGCACTGCGCTTCTCGTTTTGATAAATACAACAAAACAAAAAGCAATATAAATTAACCAATATTTTTATTCAATATATTAAATAAAAAGTCGCAAAATGTCAGATACATCGTGATTACACATATTTGGTAAATACTTTTCCTCTCTTCTCTGGCAACACATTCCTTTTAATATGGTAAATCGGCTGCGCATAACCATACTCTAATTCACAATAATAAAAATGTTTACTTCTATCAGCTGGATTGGGATAGTATGCAGCACAAAACACCTCATCCACTTCGTAAATTTTCACATCAAATGTACTCTGATCTAACACCCCACTCGTTAACATTCTTTGTATAATTTCGCAACTAGTATGTTTTAATTCATTACCCCAAATATTTAAATATCTTAAGAAAACTTTCTTTTTAATCGTATACAACAAATCCAAAACTCCCTCATTCGACAATTTATTTTGGGAAATATCTAGCGCTCTAACATTTGAATATGGCAACCCATAACTTAACGCTTTCGCGCCAATGTCATGAATGCCATTACCAGCTATATTTATAAATATTAATTGAGGCGCTTCAGATAAGTATTTAGCCAGTAATTCAGCTCCGTAATCTCCTATTCTATTATATCCAAGATCCAAATAACGTAGTGTAGTATTATTTCTCAGACCTCTAACAAAGTACTCCATATCGTGCGCTATAAATTGATTCTTCTGCAAATGTAATTCAATTATATTAGAATTTCTTTCCAGCAAAAATTCAATGTGATATGCCAGCCATTTTGTTTCGTATGGATAACGATTAAACAAAGGGTTTATTCTACTTAAATCCAAAACTTTTACTGTTGTATTTCCGTCGTTATCGTTCCTAAAGGCCGCCATAATTTCCGCCACACTAGTCAATGTCTGTCCAGTTTCACCCAAATCTAAAAATTCAATTGTATCATTTTCTTTTAGAAGTTGAGCAAGAAATTTACCACTATCAGTCCCCAAATCGTTACCGTTTATTCTTAACCTTTTTAATTTAATATATTTCGCGTACTGAGCTAAATATTCCATTGATTTATAGGTTATGTTGTTGTTCATAATATTTAAGTCTAAAATACTCGATCTGCCTTTGATTAGCAATCGTTTTAGTAAATTAAAGAAGCCTCGGTCAGTTATTTGGTTGTAGCAAAGATCGACCTTCGTTATTCTTCTTGGAATTTCTCTGATATAAAGATAGATAGCTGTTATATCTAAATCTTTTATTCTTCTTTTATATCTATCGTGAATATCCTTCCCTCGAAGTACTAAGTACCCTGTACCATCAGAATTCCTTTCAGTAAACAAATTCAAACGTATTTTATTGATTTCTCCGATCAGCAATGGCGGAGGATCACCAGTTATCTTTTTCAAAAGTTCTTCTTTGTTGCAAATGCATTTCTTTTTTTTAACTGCCGTATTTGTAACCATGGCTAGAATTTACATGTAAAACTATAAATAAAAATGTTGATTAAAAGTTGTATTTGTTTAATTTGACAGTTTTTGATACGTTATTGTGACAATATCTTCTTGACATAAACAAGAAGCCATAGAGATTCATCAAAACATAAACAAACTAGTTAAATTTTATTCATAATTAGCTCTCGCCCGCGATTTCGTCCGCGCGAAATAAAAAAAAACTATTGTTCGCAGCGTAATGTTACATAGCCTAAAGCCTTCCTCTATAAATTGACTAATTAACAAAAAACTCTTCCGCTTTATAATATTAGTATAGATTACTATTAATTTTACAATTTATAAAAGAATTTAAGAGTCAAATTAGTAGAAATAAAGAATACTTTTGTAGAAAATTTGTCATTAAAAGTTTGTCTCATACAAACGCGATTTTAATCCTCTTGCGGTTGTCTACGGCCAAATTTAGGCACAGTGACGCGGCGGTTGGCCTTTGAGTCCAGTCTATTCGAATCCTGGTATCTTCAGATTAAGTTATAGTATGAAGTGTAGAACTAACTATAAAATAAGAAACGTCTCAGTGTTTCGAATGAATGCATTCGAAAACTATTTGTCTTAATTAAGTGTTTAAATTTCAAAGTCATGAGTTATTTTTTATTAAATCATATTCTATTGATCCCCCAAGCACGCTAGATGGCGGTGTCATTAAGTGGGACAAGTCGCCGGGAATTCAAGGAATTCTCACAGACCGACGATAAATTCCTCATTTCTCTCCCTCTTATCGAAAATGAAAATACCGAAGCAAATATTCCGTTTCATTATAGATATCAACGGTTAAGTATAGATTAAAGAATAATTCGTATAAATATATATAAATGTTAAGTTCCATAACCTAAAAAAAATTGTTTCAACCGAAATCACGTTTATTAGTTGCTAGAGAAGTTTTTAACTTTAATGGGTTGTGTAAATAAACTTAAAGGACTCTGAGTGAGATAATTAGATTATTTAAAACATTAAAAATGAAAAACATATGTAGTTATAAGAAACCTTTATCCTTGATATGATGATACTTCTTTCCCAAAAATATTACGTAGAGAATATTGTTTTTTGCTAGCATTTTTATATAACTCTTACCTTGCTTTTAATATCTCCTTTCCAATATGACAGCCCCTCCATTCGGGCGCCACGACAAGCCCGTACGCGGTCAGGTAAGAGTCCACGCCGTAGTACTCAAATATGTCTACACTCCGTCCCACCAGGTCAACAGCACCGAATAACTTCGCCCAAATCTTATCATCCGTCTGGAAAATGTCAACTTATAAGATTCCGCGATAGTTATAAATCCTGGCCACTAAAAATCTGACCAATATTATAAATGCGAATATCTAGATGGATGTTTGTTAGAAAGTATCGCCTGAACAGCTGCAATTCGCTTAAATTTTGGATAGATATAGAACATAGTCTGGAAGACATGTAAACTACTTATTAAGTTTTTTTTTATAATTTAGCGCAGAGTCGCTGGCTGTATCTAGTCGAGTAATAATTGAGTAGATGTTAATAATAAATAAGACACTTAAATCTGTTCTGATTTAATTCTTGTTTTTTAACTGTGGCACTGTGCAAAGGCCACCACTAAAACGTTCGGTTACGCTGTCATCAGCAAATCTACTATGATTGGATTGTCTACTCTAAGAGAATAGAAGACAAGAATTTCGTAATTAGTTTATAATTGTACCAAATTACACTATTACTTTATTACTAGGTATATGATATACTAGGTTACTTTCTTTGTGTGATTTACTTGCATCATCTTTAAAGTTACTTATTCGTTACCTTGAAGGGCTCATCCTTGTCGTCCTTGCAGACAACAGTAAGTACGTTGACCCCCACTAACACCGAGGATCCGTCGTCTTTGTCCTCCACGCAGACTACAGACAATCTATCCTTCATCGTCTTCCTCCATAGATTCTCCAGCTCAGCTACCGCTGTAGGGTAATTGTTGACACCTGAAAGGATATGTCTTTTGTAATCTTACTAAGTCTCTCGTCCCAAGACCTACCGCAGTGTCTCAAGACGAAAGTCTTTGAGCAGTGTGTGTTGCCAGTGATGTCCTACGGTACTGAGACGTGGCCTCTCACTGCGGGCAACATGAGGCGGCTCAAAGTCACGGAGAGGGCAATGGAAAGGGCAATGCTCGGAGTCTCTCTGCGAGATCGCATCAGAAATGATGTGATCCGCAGCAGAACGAAAGTAACCGACATTGCCCGAAGAATTGTAAACCTCAAGTGGCGATGGGCCGGCCATATCGCCCGCAGAATGGACGGTCGATGGGGCCGCAAAGTCCTAGAGTGGCGGCCACGGACAGGTCGACGCAGCGTGGGCAGGCCTCCCGCAAGATGGACCGATGACCTGGTCAAGGTTGCGGGGTGGCACAAGATCGGTCATCGTGGCGATCTTTGGGGGAGGCCTATGCCCAGCAGTGGGCGTCTCATGGCTGAGTAGAGTAATCTTACTAATATTATTAAAGACTTGACTTAAAGTCCTATGTCCCCGTAGTGGGCCATAGGACGTCCACAGTGCGCCTCTACTGTGTTCGTTTCTGGAATCTATAAATTTCGAGCAAGCAGGTGATTAGCCCACTGTGCCCTAGGCCTATAACATTATAAATGCGAATGTTTTAATTTATATGTTTCTTAGAAAGTATCTCCAGAGCGAGCTCCAGCTCCAGCTCACTAAAATTTGGCACAGATATAGAACATAGTCTGGACGAACATATAGGCTATACTAAGATTTATTTTTTTAATTCCACGCAGACGAAGTCGCTGGCAACTGTTATGAACATGTACTTACCTATATACTTGCATGGTGGTTCATCTGCGGTGAAATGCTTGGAGAGTAGAGCTAGTGCTGCATCGTACTTGTCCTCTGTGAGATCCTGAACACGCAGGCTGGCGGTGGTACCGTGCCGGCGGACCGTGAAGCGATGCCAAACGTTGGGGTAAGGTACAGACGTAGGTCGGGTGTACACCATTGTCTAGAATATAAGGATTTATACAGCAGTGTTTCTCTCCAGCTGGACATCCTGAGGTCTACAGGAGACCCAAAAGCAAAAATTAAAAGGTTAGCTAGAATCAGTAGAATTTTGGAAAAGGACTACAAGAAAACATTTTGGGAACCTCTGATATAGATCCAGAAAAAACGAAACTAAACTTTTCTATTTTCTGTTCACTTACTTCTTTGTTTGTTATTTTTATTGAATTAAATTTGATTTTTTTTATCTATTTAACATAACGAGCGAGCAATAACCAAATTATCAGAAATTTTTAAAAGTTAAAGCTACTTTATAATCTTATAACCAAGTTCTCCACTTACAATTAGATTCGAACTTGAGTTAAATGATATCAACCGATGGTTTCCGGACAACCGACAAATTGGCGATCAACCCCGCGACTGTGCCTTCTGGCGATTTGACGACGTCCTGGGGTAAGTATGAGCTGGTGGTACACTGAGAGATTTATTAAAATTAACACCAGCCCTATTTTATTACTAACAAAATTATGAAAATTACATTTTTCTACGTATTTTAATTAGATTTTAGATGCAGTATATATAATAAAATTGACTATCATAAGTCTATTGCAAAAAAGAAAATTTCAAATAATAAGTCCGTAATTTTTGACTCCAACATATATATCTAGACATATCTTTTGTTTAAGTGCGCAAAAGATAGTTGTATTATCTTACTTAAAAAAAACAATTTTCCCACTTTTTTATGGAATTTTCCGCCCAGTGCACATCGAACCTTACAAGATGCCGTCATAAGCTAAACTAATCCCTTAAATCGTATTTAAATCCGTATCGCCTTCCATGATTATGTATTTGAGTCGAAGGGAATTCGGACCAGGTGAATATTGGAAACTTATCTATATTTCATTTAATACTAGCTGTAGCCCGCGACTCCGTCCGTGCGGAATTAAAAAAGAGTAGCCTATGTATGTATTATACTTCCAGATTATGTTCAATATGTATGCCAAATTTCATCATGATCCGTTTATCCGTTCTGGAGATACCTTCAAACAATCATCCATCCATCTAAACATTCGCATTTATAATATTAGTAAGATTTTTCATCATCCCGCCTTTTCACTACGGAGAGTCGATATACAGTATGTATTAATCGGCCTACTACCATCTGTACCAGTTGTACCATCACCATTAGTTCCTTTAGATTTATCATCACCCGTAGATTAAATACTCGAAATTACTCAAACAAAATTTCTCAGTCCTTTTGCGACATCTGTAAAATATGGAATGACATGCAGAAGACATTGGTAAAAGCTATGACATATACATAACAGTGAAGTACATAGAACTGATATAATCATTATTTTTAATAGTGGTAGAGCCCGCTTTAACATCTTCGCACGAATTGTCCCGGCTCGCCCGGTGATATACCACGACCACACAGAAGATAGGCGTCAAGTGGAAGCAATTCCAAGTACAGCCTGATAAATGTGCGTCCCGGAGCCTTAATTTAGTCCTCTTTGACTTCCCACCTTTTTCTTACAAGGATAGGATAGGTATTGGCCTTTCCGGATGAAAGGATGAATGGGAAGGGAAAACATTTTCTTTCTGTGCATCCTCTCCTACGTCGATTAAAGGTAGGCAACGCATATGCAATTGCGTATGCCTATGGGCAACGTTCACTTCGTTATTTCAGCGATTTCAGGTGACCGCTCGCTTGTTTGCCACCTGATGATATAAAAGAAATACTAGAATCACCATTGTACAGGTATCAGTCAGTTGACATCTCAAACCGTATCATTGTCTCGGGTCTCGCTATGAGATCAATCATCAGCACAGTCGTCAGCCACATCTTTGTTCCCGCAGGTGTACACAAAGTGCGCTTTGAACCTCTCACGTGCGTTTTATTGTATAGGGTAAATACTCTTGTTATGGACGTGGTAAACTTGAGCTAAAGAGATCTTCACCACTGTGTAAATGCAAAATAGACTTTGGGTTATAAAAGCTTAAGTAACAAAAGTTAATAAGTAGTTTTATACTGTTTATCATTTTTGTGCCTATACTATAAATAAGCAAACATGCTCATAGGAACAATACAGATAAGATACCCGGTCAGCTTGGCGCATTTTTGCAACAGAGTATATTTTACTTAATTTCTTTTCCACAAAATATAATATACATTTCTTTGTTATTCCTGTACACGTAATAAAACAATAATCGCAATTAAAAGAATTTATTTCACGTATTTTAATTGTACCTACAACAGGTGCTTTTACCCTAGGATTCAACGCATGGTTTGTACTTCGTACTTGGCGAGGCGCCATCTTGGCATCCCTCCAACAGGTCTGTTATCCCGTCTCCGCTGAAAACAGTTCACTTGTGAGTACTAAACTGAACACACGTTTTATATTGAAAAAAATAATATATTGATAAATAATAAAAAAATTATTTACAAGTTGCAAATCAATATAACAATTTAACATTTGTTTCTTTGACGTTTATCGTTAACGCGGGAAAAATTATATTTGCGGTCTAATACCGGGAAAAAGACAAAGGCATTGTGCGGATTCATCCTAGTGAAATCATTTTGGACTTCTACTTTTGCTATAATTTAAAGGTAAGGTTTTAAACATTTCAATTATGAGACTAATAAATTAAATATATTTTTTAAATTCAAATAACTTATGTTTATATTTGTAATTTATACATAAAAATAAAATTAGTATGTAATGTCAAAAATTATTTATTTCGTACACATGATGTATATGCGTAAATGGTAAAGAAAAAAAAAACAATGTTATAATTTATCTGTTCGTATGTCTGTCAGCAAGGCCGCTTTTGTTCTGGTTTATCTCTGGAACGGCTGGACTGCTTTTGATGGTACTCGGATGGGAAGGTAGCTGATGTACGGAGGCATACTATAGTTGTCAACGTATTTTCTTAACAGGACAGATAAAGCAAATAATTATGTTTAAAAAGATCTAGAAAAGATTTCCTTTAAAATTTCTTTCAAGCGTTCTTATTATAACAGTACAATAAATACGTTCGCAGTTCCTTAATCTCAAAAGATAAAATTGGCGCCAAATAAATCTCCTTTGGAGGCCAAGATCACAAAACAACGGCTCCTGCGTGGGTGTATGTTTGTAAACCAAAGTGCGCATTGCTTCTCCAAAATGTGCGACGCTTTCAAAATCATTGACCTATTTTAAAATGTTTGTCATACAAAAGTAGTCCAAGAAAAATGTTAAGAAACAAAAAACAACTTCGATATTAATGAATCTGAAATTCTATATGGCTTTTAACCGACTCATCTAGGTTTATTTTTCTAAAGATAAAGATGTTATCAGGTTCATAACATTAGTTTTATTAGGACTTCTTGACAATCAAATTCAATGGAAATAAGAAATTTTATGTGTGCATTTCATTACCAAACAATTTCATTTATTGTCTATGGATTTATTTTGAAAAATGAATTGTTTTTTTTATTGATGATACGAAAATGTCTGTTTTTTTAGTCTGCGTTTACCTTAAAAAGACAAAATTGTTTGGATTCTATTGAATTTGACTATAGACTAAATATCCGATAACAAAAACATTGCGCCCAACGTGGGGCTCGAACCCACGACCCTGAGATTAAGAGTCTCATGCTCTACCGACTGAGCTAGCCGGGCTTGTGCAGAATGGATAAAATAAGTAGTTATTTTTATGGTATAACCTCAAAATTTAAATATAACCTCAAAGAAGAAAATAGTAATCCCTCATGTGACATTAAATTTAAATAGATATCTTTGTTTAATTTTTCCTTTTAAAAAGGGAATGATTATAAAGTACAAAATACGAACTATATGTAACAAAATTTACGAGATAAGTTTGACGCCAAACTTTGATCGTAAAGTTTACAAGTGTAATAACGTTTATTTTACTAATATTATAAATTACACAGATATAATTTTGTACTACTTAATTAGCTCGATAGTAAGACTAAGGTTTTTTGTGGAATTCATGTAATTAATTGTAATCATTTGAAAAAAAAGACGTGCGATTTTTCAAATTTCCTTTGTCATTTTGCGAATACAGAAAAAGTAAATATTTTGCCGCGCTTTCCGATGTCAAGGTTGAGGGCAAAGCACTTGCTAGGCGGCTATTTATATACAGTATTTTGTTTTACTTTCAGACACCTTTGACGCATATAAAATTTACCAATTTAGATGTTTTGAGGTTATTTAAATTTTTACATTTCCCGCCAAATTTGGCGCAAATTTTCAATTGCCAAAGGAGAGAATAAAAGTACAAAAGGCCAACTTTGCACAAAAACATTGTTAAGCATGTTTTGTTTTTTATATTGCCAGTATCTTTTCAAATGATTATAATTTTGATTATTTTTTTCTTTTTTACATATAATTGATACTGGCACATGGCTTTTCTACGTTAGGGCTATAGGCAAAACATTGGCAACTGCTTAGCATCACGGTTGCGTCAGAATCATCGAAGGTCACGTTATATAGTATGTGTAGCCATGACAACATGTCAGATTTTGGCAAACAGAACAGACGCTATGTCGGCTAACTAAATTGAGAAGTGACTACGATATTTGTCTTGAAAAATTGTACACAAATAACGATGAGTTAAAAGATCATTAGGACAACAAACATTCGATATAAGCTCTTAATCGCTTCAAGCTGAAGCTGGGCGCTTGTATTTGAAAAATTCTTTGTTCCAACTTTTATAATAAAATAATTTATTGCCGCAGTTCATAGCTACCATACCTCTCATATCTTCTAAATAATTAAGAAAATAATATGCTTTATATTAAATTTTCGGCAGTGGAAAGTTAAATATTATAAAAATAACTCATTTCAAATAAATAAACATATTTTGCGTTATAGTATAAGCTGCAAAACGATCGAATAATTTATAAGACGCATTTCTCTCCGAAAAATAACACGCGTTGCCGAATCATAACATGTTTGTAAACGAAAAAACCACGTGTTCTTATTGTGTTCAAACAAACGCAATTATGGCGCCAAAAATAACCTCTCTTGCGGTTCATTGAAAATCGAAGTCGGCGCCTGAACTGAACTTCAGACAGTAAACAAAATGGCAAGAAACGTAGTTTCTTTTTGCCCGCGAATTGCAGAATTGGAAATTTTCCAGGAGTTGAAATGTGGTTAAATCGGTTTCGGGGTTTCCTGTTATTAAAGAGATTTCCGAGAACGATTTCTTTGAATGAAAACTGTGTTCGATTGCACAGAAATTTTCCTATAATGCAATAAAATAAATTGCATAAGCTTTACAATGTTAAAATCATACTACGTCTCGTTTTAAAAAGCATTTCGACTACGCCCATTTGATGTCAATGATTATTCCTAATTCTATTTGAAAACTGTTTTGTCATCAGAATTGAAAAAAAAACAACTGCCAATAATTTCCAAAGAAAAAAACATGACATGTTTGAACAAAAGGCAATATGCGTTTTAAAATTAAGGAAAATTTTTAAGCCAAAGACAAAACAATTACGGAGAAATTCCCTGACGTAAGCTTCGATTTTGGCGCGGATTGTTCCCGTTCCTTCGCGTTGGAATAACGCCATCTTTGTTGTAAAAGGCAAAGGATAATGCGTAGACGCGTGGACTTAGTGTTTGTTGTTTTCTTTTTTTAATTGTTAACATAAACAACAAACAAATTAATTTGAACAAAAACATTTTTTTAATAGTATTGTACGTATTATTTAAAATTGTGTTGATTACATTATTTGACATCTTTCATCAATAATTTAGTACCTGTATACTTCGATAAATAATTTAGTTTGATGTACGTAACAGATTAGGCAAGGTGCCCGATGTATTTGTTAAACAAGGGTTTGTATTGGTTTGTATATTTCGAAATCAGACGTAATGCGTAGGATGTTTGAATGTAAATAGATATAATCTGTGTCCAATCACAACAATACGTCTGTTTTAAATATATTGATGATCTTACATTTTTCTTAAGAAATTTAGTGCCATGTTTA